CTACTTGAATGATAAATCCACTCGTAAGTTTTCTTTTTTTTGAGGAATATTTTTTTAACTGATGTAAGTAATTAATTTCAGCAACAAATAAACTTTAATTTTCTTATAGGCAGGTACTTACTGAATTTTTAATTAATACTGAAGAACAAGAATAAACGATTACGATAATGCCTTAACCGTGCAGATCACATCTTTAGATATTTTAAAAATCAATCTTACTATTCCGGACACTTTCCATAATAGAATGTATTTATTATAATATGCTTTCAATTCCATAATAATCGTTGTTACTTAGTTCTGGTTATTAGGCATGCTGACTGCTTCAAAAATGTTTTGTCAATCGGCAACTCATTATAATAGGGACTTACAGTTGAAAGTAATAAAAATAAAAATTGCTGATTAAAAATAAACTTCAAAAAGTGGAACCGAATCTTGGTGCTGATTTGAATGTAATTTCTTTTGAAGACTGTAAAAATATTTTAGCATGAGTAAGTAATAACATAACACTATTTCAATTCGATTGGCGAATGAAAATCGCTAGCTGATATATAGAACGACTTCAGTTTTTACGAGAAGTTTAAATTATTTTAAAAACATACCAGCAAGTCGGTCGCCATTAATCTCCTCTTCAGATGAAAGACCTAAGTCGCGAAAATCAAACGATCGCGAAAAAACTCCTAAACTGAGAAGAACTAAAACACGGATGACCACTTGTGGAACCATTTCAAAATTTAACTGGCAACTCTAGATAAGGAAAGCTTCCGATTTGAACTAACCGATTGGCACGTCGTACTGAGAATATCTAGCAAAATTCGAATAGTAATTTAGAAAGTACTCATCCCCACCTTACAGGTGGTACCATGACCGCCCACATTTAGGGCTATAATTAAGGGTATATTCACGCATCGTAGGTGGTGGCCAATAACAATTAGAAAATATGGCCGTGTTTCTTTTCATTGGTTCCAGGTAGAACACATGCTTCGGTGCAAAACTCCATTAAAATGTATAGAAAACTGCACTTACTTAATTGTGTGTTAGCATTTTAAACGATAAATAGCAATTATGGATCGATAAGTGGTCACGATTTTTTTTATATCACTTTCACGTTTCAATCAGATAAATAGACAATAAATGATATTGAAGCGCATGATAAAAATCATCTTGTCTGCAGCGTTTGCTACTACAGAAACTTACTAAAGGGCCGACGGGAAAATTTCTACCTGTTTAATGAAACTCGATAGTTGCATGGTAATAATATAGGAATATTCAGTCACAACTTGCAATCGAAATATCGAATGGACATTCCATGCGCATTGCAAAATGTTTATTTCCATTTAAACATGTCAAACAATTTATCCCGTCTATTAAAATAAAATTTGTTCCTCACTATGCAGTGACTACTTACTTGACCAATATAAAAACGAAATAATTGCTTTCACTTTACTCACCCTGTATAATATACAGAATGGGCAAGTAATGTATTTAATAGTAAGTATGTAATTTACAAATAACACATTTCTACTCTACTCATTCGGGGAACGAAAAATATCCTATTCTCCACGGTTCCAAGAATTGAGAACTTTTGGAAAAATGGCCCAAGCGTGTAAATTTTATTTTCAAAACAGACAGTTTTAAACGCTAAGTATGTAAGAGGTGCAAAGGTAGGGCTTACTTATGTGCAACTTTGCTCCAACACTAACACTATTATTTTCAAAACTCTACTGTAAATATTAAAAAACTTGCAATCAACTTTCAATAGACAACGATGATATAAAACAGATGAAATGTTTTGCCCTTTTCCAGGTCAATCCTCATATGACCGAAGCTTTTGACGATTAATACAAAAATATTACTTGTTAAAAATACACCAATTTTGAGTCTATAAAGTCAGTCTTTTAGTTTACCTTTAAATCAGTCCCTTGCAATACTTTAATATGCCCACAAAATTGTAATCGTTTGGAAAATACAAAATACATTTTGATTTTCATGATCCAATAGAAGCTGTATTTAACCGATCTTATTGTATAAATAATTAACGCTTTACATTAAAATATCTAGTCGAATTCAATAGAGAAATGCAGGACTAGCTTTTGGCATCCAAGATGTTTTTTAACTTCCAATTTTTTCGTTTTAGAATAGCTGAATGCCAAGTTATCTAAATTACTATTAAGGGGCTTTCAATAAACGAGTTAAATGGAAATAACGTTGCTCAATACCACTAATTACTTTTATTTTTTATCAAAAGCGACTGCACTGTATGAGTCGTCAACTTCGTTAGTTATCTGAAGGCCAAACTGTAAATGAAAAGCGGTTGCAACGTGAAATTTCTTTTTCTTATCAAATTGGTATTTCCTATTTCTAATGTCGTTAATGTCTTGTATGTTAATAGTAAAGTATTGAACGCAGGTTTAGACCATTTCATTGTTGCAACAGATGAGTGCAGCAACAGTTAATTTTATACGAATAACACTTTTGGTACAGAATTTGTAAAAGATTTATTTACATTTTTTAGACAGCCACAACAATTCGATTTTTTTATTATTTGAACTTCACATAGAAAAGATGCATTACCCAATAATCAACTAAGCTATTAACCAACATATTTCAAGTTTATAATTATCCCGTTAGCAAAGCAGCAATTTAATCACCCTCGATTAGTAAAGTAAACATTAATTTCGCTCATCAAAAAGTGTACTAGTCACTAAGCAGAATTATTTCTCCTACTGCTTTAATTCCACCATTCAAACGAAGTGTTAAACTTTTTATTGTTAGTTTAGTTTTATTTCGCTGCATTTATCAATCTAACATAATCCTAACTCAAAACAGCTTAACGTTTATATTCATTAAACACTGAAATCCATTTCCTTATGTTAGCAAAATTGCCAGTCCATTAATAAATATGCCTTAAGTTTCCTAAACGTGGGCAAAACCCATAAGCGATACAAGTAGAATTGCTAATTGACCCTCTTAGGTGAATTAATGTCCGTAATATTCGATAAATAAAGCTTGCAATTTATGTGAAATAATTGAAAATAGGTTTTCGATTCGTCAATCCTCGTTATCTGTTGGTTTTTTAAGTTGGTCGATTTGAGAGCCAGGTTGTTTTCATTTTGTTTAGCTATTTATTCAATTTTTTAAATAGATTTTAACGATTTATTGTACTTTTGAATTCCCGCAGAAAAGGCGCTCAATAAATGTAACCATAGGACAGTTCAATCAAAAAGGTCAATCTGTATTTTTGAGCTTTCACAGAGCGATTTTTCGAAACTTTTGGTAAAAGAGTTCTACTGCACATAAGGTTTATGTTGTTTATGTTTATTATTTAAGTCGGTCAAAGGGACAACTTTAGACATTAGTTTTTAGTCTCCCAAAAATATAGTTCGGTACAAGGTGTTTCCTCGTAAGTTGACACCCCCCAAGATCGTTTATTTCGAAAAAATGTGAAAGTGACCAACACAAAAGTTGTTTAATTTTACTCATTTTTTTTAAATCTGAATTTAGAATAAAAATATAAAACACTGAAATGTAAAAATTCTGTTATTTTATAAATAAAGTTTGTTTTTTAAATGAAACACCTTCAAAAATATATATTTTGCCTATATTTGTATTAGGCGTTTTTGCCTATATGTATTACGTTTTAAAAATTCTAAATAGCAACAAATCAAAGCAGCCTTGAAATTCGGAAAGGCGCCCCTTCCACCCCATAACGTTCGCACGATTGCACTTTTTTTAAATGAAAATGTGGATATCTCGATTGGACCAACGGGTCCTATTTTATGGCCTTCAAATAGCCCCGACATAACGCTTCTTGATTATTTTCTCCGGGGTTATTTAAAGAGTATTGTGTATGAGGCTCTAATTAGACGCTTTAAAATAGTGGATGCACTTAACGATATCAATATGAATCATAACCAATATAATGAAAACGTTATATATACTTAATATTGAAGTAGGTTATAGAGCATAAAAGAGTTATAGGTTATAGAGCATATAGAGCGTTAAACGGAGGTCATATACAAAATCAGTAATTTTAAATTAATACAGTAATCAGTAATCAAAAGTAAAATAATTTATGACTTCCAAAAAAAGGCCTATAGACGATTAGTTTTTTGGTATATTTGAATACAAAAGTAAAAAAATGAAAATATAAAAACTTTAAATTTAATACTCAACAATGTTTTTTGGGGCAGCTTAACATTTTTCTAGATTATATCACCTACTTTTTATTTGGCGACATACATTTTGTATTGGCATCAATTTTTTTGAAATATATGTGCAAACTTTAACGATAAACATAATAGTATGAGATGTACCTACCGCTCGTGAAAATATTTATTCAAAACATGTTAAATTGAAAATTAATATAATTATAATCAAATAATTATATTGACATTTTGTCTGATTTTTGCGTTCCTTTCTGACATTTAAATGTGTTTCATTATTGTGCAGTTTAATTATTATTCAAAATCGTTCTTACAGTTTTAGGCGGTTTTTATCATTGCAATTTCCAGTCATTCAGTTAAGCGTTTATCTGCCAATTAAATCCTTATGATGTCCGATATACTGCGAAAACATACAGTGTTTTCAATTTCTATTTAGCGAGTTTTTTAAATACCTACTTCATGTATAAACTTCCGAGTTAAAGCAATTGTTAACCATTTTTGATTATTAACTGTCTATATATTATGGAATATATTTTTAACAGGGTTTAAATCAAAATACCTACGGAAAGTACTGGATAATTTAATCCAAGTTGTTTCAAATATTTTGGCAATTGATACCAAAGTTAATTTTCTAGCAAATATTTAAAAATGGATCATCTGTTTTTCACACATTTTTAACAAAAGAGAGTATATTATTTTATCGCCATGGCCTACTTTTTGATGCAAATATAACAATTTTTTAAAGACAATTCATAAACAATGACAGTTCACAAAAATGATGTGTTCATATTAAATCCACTACAAATAAGTATTAATTAGTAAAATATTTCGACATACCGGCTGCTTTGACTCTGGTCTTAATGTTATCATCATCGATAAGGGGGGCTTTATTCCTGCCCAACACAATCCCGGCAAAATTAGCCGCTAAGATGAAACAAACGCAGTATCTAAACACGGCCATATTTTGAATAAAAATAAAATTGTAAAAAATCACTATGCGAAAAAAACACTCAATTCACTGGTCACCAAAATTGGAAAACTCGATTCGCGAATTTGAATAGTTTTATGCGCGAAACATCGTTCTCTCGACGTGTGTGCCGGTCAAAACTATTTATGTAATGTTGTGTGATGACAATTCTGACGTTTGTTACAAACGCTAAGCAAGCGCTAGCGAAACTGCTCGCGAAGAAAGTCGAGCGTGATGCTATGTAGTGGTCCCCTTCTCTGATATGTGATCCTGGCTACGGTTTCCCTGCTTATTTAATCCTTAGGAAAGGACGAAGGATAACTCTTTCAGCTTCACCGCGTTGCTGCAACCAATCAATGACACGGGAGTACAGGGCGTTCGCTCGCGATTGGCTTCATTCATTCGAACGTTTTACCTTACCCAACTTTATACGGTTGTTTTATTCATTTTTTTCAATTTCATACGCTTCATAGTAGGGGAAGAAGGTCATTCATTCTGCAACAGTGAGCAGCTTCAGTGCATTGCAGCCGGCTGTCGATCACCGAGAAAGGCGGCCGAAAACAATGCGTCGCGACTACTGTTGCAGGCAGTTATCTTGTACGGATCCGAAAACCGAGACATAACGATTTCAATTTATGGCCAAATTAATAAAACCGCTAATTCGGACAAGCTCAAGTTTCAATCACCAGTAAACACATTTTTTGCCTAGTAGGTATTTACGTTTCTTTTTATGTACAAACTATTTCACATCTGCCCATTTGTGGATTATTTCAAAACAGAAAAATATCCGGTTTTGATCAAGCGTCAAGGAATTTAATAAAACGTTACATTACATACATCTTACATTTTGAGATCCTCGACAGCTTGTGTAATGCGGTTTCTGATAATACAATATAAAGCCAAAATAAATGCTTAAATAACGAAAAATAAACGATTTTCAGATCGGTCAGTTGTCGTTTCTTCAAACATTCGAATTTTTTTTGCTCTACAGTTGCAAAATATAAAATTACCTATAGCAAATAACAGTCAGGGCAACTCAAATGGAAATCAATAAAAGCAATAAAATAAATACAATCGATTAATGTGGAAGTTCATATAAAATCTAATTTGCAAAAATTCAAAATTGAGCAATATTCACGTTAGCTTGTGTTTTCTTCAGCAAACAAAAATCAATCACTAATCAATTTATAATTCATGTATAAATATCTGTTAGGTATTTGAATTTCAACGTGGCAACTTTTTTGGGTCGATTCTTTTGCTGTTTTATAAGGGAAATTGCCACTATTACATAGGTATTGATCGCAAACTCAAGTACCTACACCTGGGAAATTCACTATTTTTTCGCAGGTGAAACGTTCGAGGAAGTGAATATGGAAAATTATTACGAAAAATCAACCGATCAAAAGTTGCCTTTTAATATTTTTATTGTCGAATAAACTGATACCTTATTTCAGTTGGGAATTTTATTTCCCAACTGAAAAGGTAAAATATCAATAATTTCCATTATCAAAACTTGGGACAGGATTTCCATTTCAATTTTATAAATGAGTAAATACTTCACTACCGACTTGGCGTAAGTTACCCAAACGGCAACATTATTAATGAATGAAGTTAATCTCGACATTAACCGGTTAATCTCGAGAATAACATTCTAATGTTCCGTGGGCTAATGTCCGAATATTACCTTACCTCAAAGGTAATCCTTAACAACACGAACAAGCGGAAATGGCTGAACTTGGCTTTATCAGATAATGTTAATGTCGAGACTAGCCAAGTTCGAAGTTTAACCATAACGTACTTACATATATTACACCAAGGTAATAATTGATCAATCTGTTCAATCAACATTACGAGTATATTTTCAATAAAACATTTCAAAATTTCAACGAATGTCAATATACAGCGTGACTCAAAATTGCCGGTTTTTGGGTTATAGGCCTGACTTGAAGAGTACTGGGTGGTTTACGTAGACTGTGCATTAGAAGTTTTCCAACTTGTAGTTGTTTCAGAAATTTAAAATTTTTTTTCCGGTCATATGGAGCCGTGCCGAACCCATGTAAAATACATTGAACCCTTCAGCTATACAGGGTGTACGAAAAGTGTAACCTGACTTGGGCAACCCTAGTATTTTTAACTTATCTCTTTCGGTTTTTTGATATGTCAATTGTTTTATAAAAAAATGCATTACATATGTTTACGGAACAAACTATGTCTAACCGGAGGTCCTAGTTAACTCTCCGGATGACGTCAGGGTTCCTAATTTGTAACATGAGTGCATGCCCCTACAAACATTGACATATTTTTCTATTGATTTAATTGTGGTACAATTCTGCTTTTGCTGATATACTGATATAGTATGTAAAAACAAAGCAATTGGGATGGTTCGTGCTATTTTAGAGGTGCTTCTTGATGTGACTTGCCAATGTGGTTCCATTTACTCTGCAATATTGCTTTTTTTTCTGTTGATCTATGTGATTTAATCCAGTCAATTTCACTTTCTATTGTGTAGCATACTTAATTCCATAAATTGGAATAATGATATAAAAAAAATTATTGTTATTAAAAACTGAGAAATTTGCAAAAACCTATATTAGAAAAAAGGCAACAATGTTTTTCAAGGTAATCTGCCTAATTAACATTAAGTAAATACCTGTTGCTTCGCAACTATTGAAAACTCCGGTAACCATGGAATTATACAGAAAAGGACAATAAGATAGACAAGGATAAACGGTAAATTCAACAGGAATCGTTGAATGACGGAACCTATTTCGAAACTCATTACCTCGCATTATTAATTTGTTTACAAATTACAAAAACATACATTTGGGTCTGTAACTCCAAACACGTGCCTGTGTGATCACCTTATTATGAACTATTCTCGAACAGCATCTTGTATTCGGTTCATTAAATCCTGCTTAATTTGTACCGGTGTTCACTAAGCAATTGGTTTAATGTGTATCTTACATACGTGGTAGGAATGTAGCCGGTATTTATTTGGTGCCTGGAAAAGTGTCAGTTGTTGTGCAATTTTCTGAGTGCCCTTCAATGGCTTTTCTGCAATTATGTCCAACACTTGTTCCTCTGTGTCTGGAACGCCGAACATCTATTGTTGTCCACTATCTTCTTGAAACCACTCTCCTCGCCTTTTGTTGGCTTGAGTTGTTTCAGCTTCTGCTACGTTACTGTAGCAATTCCCCTGAACTAACCGCATATCCGCAAATTCGTGAAAGGAAATTCAAAGTAAGTCACAGTTTGACAAATTATTGTTATTATTGACCAGGGCCTGTAATTATCTGTTGATGCCAAACAATATCTTTGCCGCTTTGACTTTTCATCAAAAAATTGAAGAAGAGAACTTTTTTAATTTAAAAAATGTTCGTAATTCGAAGCAAAGATCGTAATTTTTCTTTTTGAATGCTTAAGTATTCCAATATGCTTCCAATTAAATGTGGTACACTTTCAAAATGCTTAATAACAAAGTTGAAATTCGATTTTGAACTGTTAATATCTTCTAGAAATTACCGAAAAAAAATTTTCAATATTTTTCTCGCACCTTCCAAGTGAGCCCATATTACTCCTTAAAAAGAATGACGCCAATTTTGAATCACCCTGTATGTAGACCTGCCCCAAAAATATTCAGACAAAGATTTTATTGAAAAAAGCACACCAACCAAAGACACCTCGACAATGACATTTATTTATGGTTAATTTTAACGATGATGAGGAGGAGATGCCCTTGTCTACATTATTTTTAATATAAGCGGAAACGTTGCTTACTGCGCTAAGTGAAAGTTTACAAAACATATAATATTTTGATCACAGTCAGACCTAGTTTTTTATAAAACGTATGAACGTTTCCACATCCGCTAGGTTTGCAGGAGTGATAAAGATTGATTCGTTTACTAAATGTTGCCTATTTCTGCGTTGGCAAAAGTTCGCTACAAATTCCCGAAAGCGAGTACTAAAATTGTGAGCTACGTTTTGAGCTTGGTCCTTTAGGTGGTTAATAATACTGTTATTTACTCTTTCTGTGATTTCGTGGCGAATCCAATTCTCATCCAATTGCGCTTCTTGTGACTTCACATCAACATCCAAATAAAGCAGCTTTTTTTTAGGTATAAAACCTATTAGTTCCTTTTCATAAGTTAGACATGTTCGACTTCAGAATCCTTACAATCAAATTTTGAGCGAGAAATATTAGTTTACTGTCTGTCATATGGTATTAATTTGTTCTATTTTTATATTATAGAATGTGGGCTGTGCGACAAGAGAAAACTTCTTTTTGGGAAATTATTAGTTTTGCTTGGTGTTTTAAATCTCTGGAGTGTAATTACTTATTGAAAGAAAATGTCAGTGATGCCCTTAGATCAATAAGTATTTCCTGATGGAAAACGCTTGCTGTGTTAGTTATGATAGGGAAATCTTCTATTGGTTTGTCATCGCTAAATGGAGCATAACTAATTTTAAATTGTGATAATTTTAAAATAGGTTGTATGATTGGGTCAACATAATAGAAATAAGTAGATACCTACTTTTCGGATTTTGGCTTCGAACTTTCAAAAATCATGATTTGTCAGGTGAATTAAATGTTTGAAAACTTATTAGTGTGAGTTTAACTGACCTATGGAATGTAGTAATTAAATTATGATTCAATTCACTTGTTTGTCAATTACCCTCAATTACCAAACAATTATGTAATGAGTTTGAACGGTACATTGGAAACAATTGTGATCTTCGCTCGCTACGTCATGCCGGCTTTCAAACAGTAAAATTACTTTAATTATATTATATAAGCGTGTTCGGTCAGCGATAGAATTTTTCCTAAACGACCATATGTCCTGCAAAATGGTTAAAGTCGAGATTAACCTACCAGCTGCCATTGTCCTGCCCCGTTTTAAATCCTCATCGAAAAGCGGCAATATTTTACCCTTAGCCAGGGCGCTGCCGGCCACATAAGCCGCCAATAGGCAAATTTTCAAATATTTGAAGAGGTGCATGATTCCAGTGCCGGTACACTAGATATGTATCCAGTGATATCCAGTTTATCGCTCACAAAGGTTACGTCAGACACTCGCGATGTCAAAAGTACCGCTAATTTTACGAGAAATAAATCGGTCTTCTAAGGTTGATCAGGCAGATCTCTAACGATTACTAGGGGTAAACTTCCAGCTAATCCAGCAACTTCCATTCGTGGATTTCCGAACCAAACCGCACTCTTTCCATAGCCACCGTCCGTGATAACCATAATCAGATACTGATGATCCAGTGATACTTCAAGTAATTCGCTACAAAAGACCTTACCGAACCGCACGACACGTTAAAGAGAACACTTTTAATATGAATGTGTTTATAAGTCTGGGTGCTTATCTTATCACGGAAGATTACATTATATGTTATAACTACTATATGTGATAAGACAATGTCACCTATAATTGT